AACACTTAGTGGTCGTTAGCTGATGTTCGAGTTCTTGCAAAAGCTGCGGGTTACTTGCGACAGGTGCGAGTAGTCGTGCCAACTACAATGAGTATGATTACTTTCAAATGTTTCAAACAGATTTAAAATCCGTTTATAGCTGTTTTGAAAAAAGAAGGATAGATGGGCAAATGCACATGCCATATTTGCATATTCTAGATATGGGTTGTTTTGTGCGTACACACCATAAGCAAAGCAATTCTATCCAATTAAGAAATGGACCAACTGACCTGCTCATAGGTGTCCGGATTATTGATTCGTCTTGCAAAAGCTACAGAGACAGCTTGTGCCACACCATCTAGCAATGGTGCGACTTGTTGCTCATGGGTTATCAGATGAGAAGCTAAAGCCGTCACAACATGTGGTGGACAAGTTTCCAGAGCGGTTAAAAGCATTATCTGAAAGCAAAAGAGTAATTGCGAAACTTGGCTCATTAACATTTGCAGAACTATTGACAAAAACTAATTACAAATTTTCTATTCATTTACAAACTTTATGTCTCGTAAAATAGCCAGCACAATAGCTCCCCACTGAAGTGGAGGGGGGACCAGTTCTGCTCAATAGGTGACCCACCTGTTGTGTCTCCAAAAGCGTCGTTACTGGGATCGCATTGAGTAGCATTGAGATCAAATCTTTGCAGTCTAACCATGCATTGCTGAAGTGCATAAAGTTACAAAGGAAATTGTTTTTATTTAGAAACATTAAGCACACGTCTATGAAAAACTCACTCATCCACCTGTTTTACGTCAATTGCTACCATACGTTTCAAAATCTCTAACGCCTTAAACTCCGTACGGTCTGCCAAAAATTCTCGCCGCAAGGCCTAAAATCAAAATCGCGCTTGTCAAACAGATTTCTGGTTAAAGACTAGTAGGAAAGAAGGCCCTCGATACGAAGCTCACCAAAAATTTCTCACTAGTCCACATATCTCCCTGCTCCAAAGCCTGCTCTGGCGACTCCAAATTGTTTGAAGACGCTGAACGCATTCTGCACTACGAAATTTCATTGTATGAGCATCAATAGATCATATGAATATGTAAGAGGAGATGTAACAAGAGCCT